TCTTTCCCTCTCTCTGTCTCTGTAACTCTGTCTTACAAAATAAATAATCTTTTTTTAGGGGCTGGCGCTGCGGTGCAGCAGGTTAAAGTCCTGGCCTGAAGCGCCAGCATCCCATACGGGTGCTGGTTCTAGTCCTGGCTGCTCTATTTCCGATCCAGCTCTCTGCTATGGCCTGGGATAGCAGTAGAAGATGGCCCAAGTCCTTGGGCCCTTGCACCCACGTGAGAGACCCGGAAGAAGCTCCTTGCTCCTGGATTCGGATCGGCGCAGCTCCAGCCATTGCAGCCATCTGGGGAGTGAACCAGCAGATGGAAGACTTCTCTCTCTGTCTCTCCCTCTCTCTGTAAGTCATCTTTCAAATAAATAAAATAAATCTTAAAAATAAATAAATAATTTTTTTTAAAAATGTGGACTACAGGCAGCTTACATGTTACAAAGAATAGTAACATTTATTCTGCTATTCCACTTATGACATCACATTTAATCCCTCCACAAATTTTGAGGTGGATGTTATGACCCGTTTATAGGCTCAGAAACTGAAGTACAGGGCTGTTCATACCATCGTGCTGCTGGTCAGAGACAGCACCAGGATTTCAGGTTGGAGTACGTTGGTTCCAGAACTCCAGCTCATTAAAATGGCTCAGGATGACAAGGGAAAGACTAAGTGGTCATTTCACCAAATTCACGTGCAGGGCAGCCAAACATGGCTGTGACTTCCTATAAAAGAGCAGTCGCTGGGCAGAGTCCCTTTCAACAGTTGCTATTTAGAAGTTCTATCATTCCCACTCCAAGGCTTAGATCTCTTACATGGAAAAGAACTGGGGGTTAGAGGAAAGGAAATGGAGGAGAGGCAGGTGTTCGGTATAGTGGTTAAGAAACCACTCTGGATGCCTGCATTCCATATCAAATGCCTTTGTTCAAGAATCTTACCCTCCATCCAGTTCCAGCTTCCTACTAATGTGTATCCTGGGAAGCAGCAGCTTTTTTTTTTTTTTTTTAAAGACTACTTTATTGAGTATTTAAAATGTCTATGGTTCGTCCAAGGCCACCGAGCAAATTAAAACCCTCAACTCTCAGGGAAACCACATCACCCTAGTTCCCAGGACAGCCACAGCGCACCAGAGTGAAGAGCGCAGACAACCAGGGGCCCAGCCCCAGTCCCCAGTAGGGCTCCCGCGCGGGATGACAGGTGCCTGCAGGCGGAGTCTGCCCTGGTGAGCCCCTCCCGTCCTGTCTTTGTCATCGGCTGATGATCCTCAGGTGGGGATTCCTCTCTTGCGCAGCCATCAGAAGTGCGTGGGTTTCCTCTCCGAGTTCTATATGTTTCAGCCCCAGCACCTGCAGGGTGCACCCTGGGTGGCTCATGGCCGCCAGCAGCACAGCCAGCCCCGGTGGTCCAGGGTGTTGTGGGTCAGGTCCAAATTCCCCAGAGTCTTGCTGCTGGTGAGAGCGGAAGGAAGTTGGGTCCTTGTCACCCATGTGGGAGAACTGAATTGAGTTTCCAGTTCCTTGTCTTCAGCCTGGCCCAACTTGGGCTGTTGCAGACATTTGAGGAGTGAACCAGCAGATGGAAGACCTCTCTCTCTCTCTCTCCTTCTGTCTTTCAAACAAAATAAATGAGAATTTTAAAAATAAATGGAGAAAGAGAAATGAAGAAATGGAAAGGAGAAAGAGGTAGGCAGACAGAGAGGAGAAAAAAAGGACTGGCTAAATTTGAAGCAATCACAGATCAGTGTTGGAAGCGAGAACATTTGATTTAGTCTCTGTCCAAAATGTGAAGAAACTGAAACTCAAGGAAGGAAATGTCTCAGCCAGAACCACCTAGGAACTTATCAACGAAGAGGGCGTGACATCGTCCTGTTCAACACGGTACCTCTAGCGTCATGTGCTCTCTGCTGTAAATGTAAAAAATGCACTGGATTTCAGAGATTGCTCGTGGGGAAAAAAGATGTAAAATAGCTCATCAACAATTTGTGCATTGGTTACACGTTGAAATGATTTTTTTGTTTGAGCGAGCAAACGATTGAAGTTTGCTGGTTCACTTTGCAAATGCCTGCAACAGCCAGAACTGGTTTGGGGCCAAAGCCAGGAGCTGGGATGGCAATCCAGGTCTACCATGTGGATGGCAGGAACCCAATCGCTCAAGCCACCACCACTGCCTGCTAGTGTCTACATTGGCAAGAAGATGGAGTCAGGAATAGAACTGGGCATAGAACCCAACTACTCTGATGTGGGAAGTGGGCGCCTGAACCTTTAGGCCAATTGCCCAGTTCTGGATATTTTTAACAATACAATAAAATATTAAAATTGATTCCACCTGTTTTTACATTTTAAGAAATATGCTTCCAGAATGTTTTTAAAAGATTGATTTTATTTATTTGAAAGGCAGAGAGAAAAAGAGAGAGAGAGGTTTTCCATCCACTGATTCACTCCCTAAATGGCTACAATAGCAAGTACTGGGCCAGGCCGAAGCCAGGAGCCAGGAGCTTCTTCCAGGTCTCCCACATGGGTGCAGGGGCCCAAGGACTAGGGCCATGCTCTGCTGCTTTCCAAGGCACATTAGCAGGGAGCTGGATCGAAGTGGAGCAGCTGGGATGTGAACCGGTGCCCATATGGGATGCTGCCACTGCAGGCAGTGGCTTAACTGGCTATGCCACGGTGTGGGCCCCAAGCTTCCAGAAAATGTCCAAGTACACATGTGGCTCACATTTGGGCTCACATTATTTTACTCTGAATTGGGCTCATCTTGAAATCTGCTGACCTCTAGGTAAGGTCCCTGCTCTGTTTCCCGGCGTTTCTTCTAACAAAACATTCGTTTACCACCTCTTATGTGCCAAGTGCTGAGACAAGGTCCAACTCAATCTGTCTGAGGATAAGACAAAAATGTGCTAGCATTCAACAGTGCTGGTGCCTTGTATAGCGAGTGAGTTCTATCTTATGTACTTCTAGCATGTCATTCTTAACTGCCCGTGCCAACGTTCCCTTTTAATAAAATCTTTTCTAACTCCCCCTTTACTGTTTTGAAATGAAGTTCCTAGATGATTTAGCCTACCTACACACATAATTTCAAAAATTTACAGTTATCTTAACTATAACAGAAAAAGAAACATAAGGACTTTATAAAAAAAATGTCTTCCCAGTATGCCAGAAAACATAGAAGCTTGTACCTGTAGGTGAAGTCACCTTGAAGATGACTTTACAGACATTGTTGCCAAGGACAGGATTTTCCAAAATAGTGAATGACTGGTAGAAAATCCACACACACAACAAAGTTCGGTCTTCGGGCTCAAGGATCACAGGGCTACCACGCTTTTCCACCGGTGTGACTGTCTGTACGGCACCTCACAGCTGTGCGGGACTAGGGCCATTTTCTTGTGTGCTACTGTCTTGAGGCATGCCCCTTTCTCCCATTTCTTCCCCCTCATTTGACAAATTGCTCCAGAGCGATGATGCCATCTTGGTTGGGAGACCGCTGTGGTCATCTGAATTCCCCATCTCCCCTCCGGCCTCCGCTTGAGAGGCTGTTCTTCCCTTATCAGGATCTCACCATGCTGGCCTTGCCCCTCCCCCTCCCCCTCTTTTATGGTTTATGTATTTGAAAGTCAGAGTTACAGAGAGAGGGAGAGACAAAAAGAGAGATCTTGCCTCTGCTGGTTCACTCCCCAGATGGCCACCACAGCCAAGGCTGAGCCAGGCGCAAGCCAGGAGGTTCATCAGGGTCTCCCATATGGGTGGCAGGGGCCCAAGTACTTGGGCCATCTTCTGCTGCTCTTCCTCTGGCCAACAGCAGGGAGCTGGGTCAGAAGTGGAGCAGCTGGGATGAGAACCTGCGCCCAGACGGGATGCCGTAGCTGCAAGTGGTGGCTTTACTGCCAAGCTTTTCTCTTTGTGGGTCTCTGCTCTTGGTGCTTGGGTGGCTCCCCAAGAAGCTTTGGATCCCAGCATTCTGCAAAGTCCAGTCTCATTTAACTCCCCCTGTTTGTTTTTCCACTGACTTCTGTATTTTCTGCAACGACACTTGGGGCACTTTGAGAGACCAAGAAAAGAAATCTCCAGCGCGTGCCTGAGTGTATGTATTGCCTTAGTTTGTGAAGTCAAGGACCATGTCCATCTGGTCTACCACTTGCTTGCCCAGTACTTATGAAGATGCCTGGAACTCAGCAGGCAAACATTTCTTAAGCCGCTGAACGGATGACGGGGCTGCGAAGCCGGTTGGGAGACACTTGTTCATGAAGGGCGAGGGTGTTTTTACCCCGGGAGCACATGCAGTGAGCTGACGCCGTGGGGGAACCCAGGTCCAGTCTGGCCGCGCTCGGATTCGCGCCTGTAGGATGCCCGCTTAGTACCGGGAGGCGGGTGGCTGGGAGCCAGGCTGTCCACGTGCCCGGCAAGGTGGGCGCGCGGGGAGGGACCATAGAGAGCGCGCGGGCGGAGCGAGCGGCCGGATGCGGTCACCATAGAGACGAGGTGACTGACAGGGGCGGAAGAGGAAGCCGCGGGCAGGGGCTGTGAGGTGGCAGCGGTTGCAGCGGCGGAGCCGGCGCTTCCTTGGGCACTGGGGTCTGTTCCCCCTTCCCCATCCCTGACCCCTCTGGGCGCTTGCGGGCGCTGTCCCGCAGTCCCGGGGCTGCTCCTCCGTGGGTCCCCACGCCCCCGCCCTGCATCCGGCCTCGCCGGTTCCCCCAGCCTTGCAGCGGGGGCCTCCTCCCCGCGGGGCTTGGGCGTCCCTCGTAGCCCCGCGCCCCTGCACCTGTACGGGCACCGGTGGGATCTTTGACCCTCGCTGTCTCCGCGGCGACCTCCCGCCCGCCCCCGGCCCGGAGAAGCAGCCGAGCGGGACCCCCCGCCCCTCTGCAGCCCTGTGGCGTAGCCGGTTTATTTCTGTTTGGTCACGAACGGCCAAGACTGTCTCTGGGCCTTCCTCCTAGGGTTGGAATGGGCCTTCGGTTGCTGAGGGGTAGAGCAGGGGGCGCCTGCCGGGGAGCTTCTGCTTGGCTTCCTTGAACCTCCCGCGCTGCTAGTCCTCACGGTTTGCTCCGGGCTGGGTTTGTTTGGTTCTGGGGCCCCGGGGGAAAGTCAGACACCGAGTCGCTCGCGCGTGGAGCGTTTCTGCCATTTGCCTGTCGCCTTCTCCCCCGGAAGGTGGGCAGCGCAGCGTCTCCGCAGCTGCCCTGCAAAATGGCTGCATCAGCCATCGCACTCCTCTGAGAAGCCGTCACTGCTGAGTCACCGTGTCTGTCCCCTCCTTTGGGTGGGCAGAGCCTGTGTGCACCATGCCCGCGGCTCCTGACCACTCCTGGCTGTGAGGAGGGCCTGCCAGTCCAGGGAGTGGAGTGGGCCTGCAGCACGTGGTTAGCGACCCCCTGGGTACCCGGAGGCAGGAACAGTGCCTGGACCTGAGAGAAGGCGCTGAGGCAGGCTCCTCTGGTTGGGGGCTGTCTTTGGGTGGCCCTAGATCTTCCATCAGTTCTGCTGTGGTCCTAGGCCCAGTCTCCAGATGTGTGTGGTTCTTTTTGGGTGAGATTTGGCAGCTCTGAGTTTTGTTCCCTCCCCTTTCTAGACAAGTGTAGTGAGGAAAATCATTCTCGTACTGCTCACTGTACGAGGCTCAGGGTTCGAGCCAGCGCTGTAGCAATGGAAGACCAGGCAGAGTGACTTGTGAGGATGAGCCAGTCCATCTTCCCAGGGATGCGGGGCCTGGAAGCCAATCTGCCTGGCTCTGGTGCGGACCTCACTGACCCCAGGTTCTCAGGGTAAAGCTGCATGCCGACTGCTGGCCTGGTGCCCACCACCCCGCTCACCTTTGAGGCTGTGCCCCTGGGGCACCCACATGGCAGGGCCCACCACCATGCGGCTGAGTTCCCTGCTGGCTGTGCTGCGCCCAGCACTGCCCCTCATCCTGGGACTTTCTCTGGGATGCAGCCTGAGCCTCTTGCGCGTCTCCTGGATCCAGGGTGAGGGAGAAGACCCCTGCATAGAGGCTGTGGGGGAGCCAGGGGGGCCACAGAATCCAGACTCAAGAACTTGGCTGGAGCAAAGTGATGAGGACTTCAAACCCCGCATTGTCCCCTACTACAGGGACCCCAACAAGCCCTACAAGAAGGTGCTCAGGTAAGAGCCCCCTTGACACGGGCTGGCAGCTCAGGGCTGGCTCCGATCCTTGCCTCTGCCTTCCCACAGGTAATCAGTGTTACATTCCTGGGAGCATGTCTTTGTCTTATTTTCCATCATGCAAGCTTCCTATTTGCATCTAAGAAAAATTCATCCATTGATGTTAAATAAGTATTCAGTTTTTATTATTATTATTATTTGAAAGGCAGAGTGACAAAGAAAGAGAAAGGGAGAGAGCGAGTTCACTCCCCAAATGGCCATAAAAACCAGAGCTGATCTGGGCCACAACCCAGGAGCCCAGAACTCCATCCGGGTCTCCCACGTGGATGACGGGGCCCCGGGACTTGGGCCATCTTCTGCTGCTTCCCTGGGCCCCTTATCAGGAAGCTGCATTGGAAGCCGAGCAGCCAGAACGTGACCCAGCGCTCTGACGTGAGATGCTGGCATCACAGGCAGCGGCTGAACCTGCTGCGCCACGACAGCAGCCCGGTGGTCAGTGTTCGGCAGGATAGGAGCTGCATGGTGCTGTCGAATCCATCCCAGAGTGGATCTCTTCCGCCTCAGCTCTGTTCCAGTGTCGGCCACTCAGTGGCTACTTGCTCCAGGAGCTGATTAATACTGATGCGGAAGAAGGTGGCTTCCCTTCTGTTTTCCCTCATGCCTCGGGGGATGCGGATGCCTGACCTGAGCTAACTGCCCACACGCTGGTCTCTACAGGACTCGGTACATCCAGACGGAGCTGGGCTCTCGGGAGCGGTTGCTGGTGGCTGTGCTGACTTCCCGGGCCACGTTGTCCACGCTGGCTGTGGCTGTGAACCGCACGGTGGCCCACCACTTCCCTCGGCTACTCTATTTCACTGGACAGCGAGGGGCCCGGGCTCCGGCCGGGATGCAGGTGGTATCTCACGGGGATGAGCGTCCCGCCTGGCTCATGTCGGAGACCCTGCGCCACCTGCACACGCACTTTGGGGCCGACTATGACTGGTTCTTCATCATGCAGGATGATACGTACGTGCAGGCCCCCCGCCTGGCGGCCCTGGCCGGTCACCTCAGCATCAACCAAGACCTATACTTGGGTCGGGCCGAGGAGTTCATTGGTGCAGGGGAGCAGGCCCGGTACTGTCACGGGGGCTTTGGCTACCTGTTGTCACGGAGTCTCCTGCTGCGCTTGCGGCCGCACCTGGACGGCTGTCGAGGCGACATCCTCAGCGCTCGTCCTGACGAATGGCTCGGCCGCTGTCTCATCGACTCTCTGGGTGTTGGCTGTGTCTCGCAGCACCAGGTGACAGCTCTTTGAAGTCGGTCCCTGACAAGTTGGTGGGGACCGAGTTATTGGTCTCCAGGCTGGGGGCTAGCAACCGTGGCCGTCCCATCCGCTTGGCACTCTTGCTCAACGCTGGTGGTATTAGAACCCTGAGGGACCCCTGAGCTGGACAGAAAGGTGTCTCTCCTCACCAGTCCTCCCCCTGCCCCGAGTTTGCCTCCTTCCCTGGGGCTCCCTCCCCCTCCCCGCTGCACATCATTGATGGACACTCCCCAGAGCAGTGAGGTGACCCCTTTCCCAGCCAGAGTTAGAGCAGGAGGCGGCCCCTCCTCCCAAATCACAGTGCTAGCAGGGTTTTCTCGCTCGAGGTCTTCACTGCCTTTCTAAAACGTGGACAGTGAAAGTAAGAGCCGGGTCAAGGGTGAGGCCAGCAGCGGCACCTGCCACCCTCCGCCCTAGAACACATGGGAGCAGGCGTGGATGCCGAGGACGGTAAAGGACGGCCTGGGACAGGCAGCGCTCGTGTGTGCCACTGACCGCCTCGCTTGATCCCGCAGGGGCAGCAGTACCGCTCGTTCGAACTGGCCAAAAACAGGGACCCCGAGAAGGAGGGGAGCTCGGCTTTCCTGAGCGCCTTCGCTGTGCACCCTGTCTCTGACGGGACCCTCATGTACCGGCTCCACAAGCGCTTCAGTGCTCTGGAGTTGGAGCGGGCCTACAGCGAGATAGAACAGCTGCAGGTGAGTTCAAGACCAGCAGGTGCCCCTCCCCCCCCAGCTACAGGGCCGGAGCGAGCCTGGGGTGGCCACGCCTACAGTGAGTGGCAGCCGGGTGGCTTCATGCGACAGCAGGCTAGGAAGAGGGTGGCCCTAACCTAAATCTACAGTCATTACAGGGACGAGGGTGTGTGGGTTCCAGGGCAGTCACCATGGAAGCCCCTAGAACCAGGTGAATGCCGTTAGAGGGAAACGCAGACTCAGAAGTTGGGCGAGTTGTCGCTCCTCTCCACTCAGAAGTTCCTGACCTAGAACCGTCCTAAGAAAGCCCAGGGTAGGAAGTAAGGAATTCTGTAGAGGCTTAACATGGAGGTTGTCGGAGGTTTGAGTGTGGCTGAAGACGAGGGTCTGTAGGCAGCGATGGGATTCCCTTGGGTGTGGCAGGGACGTCTTCAGGCTTCATGACTGGCACCTAGGCAGAGGCACGGGTTCCGCCTCTGCTGGCTGGCGGCAGGTGTCTTGAGGTGGGTGCCTACTCCTCCTGCATGTTCAGCTGGGCAGCACGAGGCCCATGACTGGCCCAGAGGCCACTGGCTCAGCGGTGATGGAGTTAGGGCAGAGCTCAGTATTGGCATCCCAGAGCCAGGGCTCCCCTCCCCGGAGGAGGGGGCTGGGTAGGATCGAGAGCGGGCACTAACACTGGGTGTGTTCCTTCCAGGCGCAGATCCGGAACCTGACGGCGCTGACGCCCGAGGGCGAGGCAGGCCTGAGCTGGCCTGTTGGGCTTCCCGCTCCCTTTATACCGCACTCCCGCTTCGAGGTGCTGGGCTGGGACTACTTCACGGAGCAGCATACCTTCTCCTGTGCCGACGGGGCGCCCAAGTGCCCGCTGCAGGGGGCCAGCGGGGCAGACGTGGGCGACGCGGTGGACACCGCCCTGGAGCAGCTCAACAGGCGCTATCAGCCCCGCCTGCGCTTCCAGAAGCAGCGGCTGCTCAACGGCTACCGGCGCTTCGATCCTGCGCGGGGCATGGAGTACACCCTGGACTTGCTGCTGGAAGCCGTGACCCAGCGTGGCCACCGGCGGGCCCTGGCCCGGAGGGTCAGCCTGCTGCGGCCCCTGAGCCGGGTGGAGATCCTGCCCATGCCCTATGTCACCGAGGCCACCAGGGTGCAGCTGGTGCTGCCGCTGCTAGTGGCCGAAGCGGCCGCGGCCCCGGCGTTCCTGGAGGCCTTTGCGGCCAATGTTCTGGAGCCGCGAGAACATGCGCTTCTCACGCTGTTGCTGGTCTACGGGCCGCGGGAAGGGGGCCGTGGGGCCCCGGACCCTTTTTTGGGAGTGAAGGCTGCAGCGGCAGACTTAGAGCGGCGGTACCCTGGGACGAGGCTGGCCTGGCTTGCCGTGCGAGCAGAGGCCCCGTCCCAGGTGCGACTCATGGATGTGGTCTCCAAGAAGCACCCCGTGGACACTCTCTTCTTCCTCACCACCGTGTGGACGCGGCCTGGGCCTGAAGTCCTGAACCGCTGCCGCATGAACGCCATTTCTGGCTGGCAGGCCTTCTTCCCGGTCCACTTCCAGGAGTTCAACCCGGCCCTATCGCCTCAGCGATCACCCCCAGGGCCCCCGGGCGCTGGCCCCGACCCCCCATCCCCGCCCGGTGCGGACCCCTCCCGGGGGGCTCCCGTAGGGGGCAGATTTGACCGGCAGGCGTCTGCGGAGGGCTGCTTCTACAACGCTGACTACCTGGCGGCCCGAGCCCGGCTGGCCAGTGAACTGGCAGGCCAGGAAGAGGAGGAAGCCCTGGAGGGGCTGGAGGTGATGGATGTTTTCCTCCGGTTCTCAGGGCTCCACCTCTTCCGGGCCGTAGAGCCAGGGCTGGTGCAGAAGTTCTCCCTGCGGGACTGCAGCCCTCGGCTCAGCGAGGAGCTCTACCACCGCTGCCGCCTGAGCAACCTGGAGGGGCTGGGGGGCCGCGCCCAGCTGGCCATGGCCCTGTTCGAGCAGGAGCAGGCCAACAGCACATAGCACCCCAGCAGGGGCCCCGCCCCCACCCGGGAAGGGCAGGGCAGGCCAGTGCACAGATGGAGGGCTCATCACTGTATTTCTTTTCTTTTCTTCTTCTTTTTTTTTTAATGAGAAAATGTTATTAAAAGTATTTCCTGCCAAACTGGTTTTAGGTCTAGGGAAAATGGGCAAAGAAGTACCTGAGGGAGGGGTGTGGGGGGCGTGTCCCAGGGGACCCAGTGCCTTCCTCCTCCCCACCCCCAGTTCCCAGTGACCACACGTGGCTGCTGTCAGATGAATGACCTTTAATCCAGTCCCCCCAACCCCCACCCCCCAACGAGGCGGCAGAGGAGCGACGCCAGAGCCCAGGGCCAAGTGCTGGGGGCGTGGGCAGCCGGCAGGTCCACAGCGCTGCTCGTCCACGAGCTCCTAGGTGTTGCGCACAACCAGCGACTGCTCCAGCTCCTGCCTGCGCTGCTGGATCTTTAGAGGAAGCGTGGCGGGAGCAGGGTTATGGTGTCGCCGGGTGAGTGGCCAGGACCACCCAGCACCCCCGTCCCGAGAGGAATGCCTGGGAGCAGGGCAGCCATGCATGGAGAGGCCGGGGTGGCGAGGCTCGCCATGGGGGAGTGGCAGGGGTCCCTGGAGAGCAGGGAGGGCGCTCTCAACGCAGGGGAAGGGGAAGCCCCCAGGGGGAGGAGCCCCTGCATACCTTGCAGTAGAAGTAGCGGCTGACGGCCTCCTGGGACCAGGGTTGGTGGTAGAACTCGGCGCGGCGCTCCTCTTCGGGGTTCCCGGCCACATCTGTCATCACCTGGAGGGAGCATGGGGTCAGCGCTGAGCCCCGAGTGCCCTCGCCTGCCCTGGTGGCCCATGTTCACTGTCTCTCCTGATGTGCTTGTCTTCCACTCCAGTACTCCCTGAGTCTCCCTCTTCACCTTGAGGTCCCGGCTCTGGGAGCGCAGCAGGTCTTGGACGTAGCCTTTGGGGTCTCTGGAGAAGCTTAGCATGAAGTCCCTCTGGATCTTGAGCTGGTTTATGGACTCAATCGTCTCGTGGATCTGCAGGTAGAAAGACAGATGCTTTCCACCTGGCTGTGGTGATGGGAAGAGGAGGAGGGCTGGGGAGTGGAGGGAGGAAGGGGTTACTTCCTGATCCTTCTCACATGGTGGGGGGGGGGCGGCAGGAGCAAGTGTGGCGCGGAGTTGCCCTCCAGGCAGCCTGGAAGGGCTGTGCATCCCCGTATCTCCCACTCTGGCCTGTTCTCTCTGGGTTAGTGTCCCACTCCAGCGCTGGGCTCGGGCCCCACCTTACTGTCCAGAGCACTGATCTCCTGCTGGTTGGCCGTGGACAGGAGGAAGCTGCTCATCTGCCCCTTCAGCGGCTCCTCCACCTCCACGTCAATGTCGTAGCATGCCGTCTTCTTCTGGTCCGATGGGTCCACACTGCCAGGGAAGTCATAGCCCTTGGTGTCCGTGGTGCCCCCCGCAGAGACCAAGGGCCCCCGGGGTGGGGCAGGGGCAACGGAGGGAGGGGAGCCGGGAACGGGAGGCGAGGCAGGGGTAGGGAAGGCAGGAAGGCACTAACTTCCTGGCCTGAGAAGCAAGCTGGGGCCACCTCACCTGATGACATGGTTGATGACGATCGGGTCAGGGGGCAGTAGCAGGGCTGTGAGGCGCTGGGGAATCTCGGAAAACTTCAGCCGGGGACAGTCAAAAATCTGAAGCAGGACGGTGGGGGGTGGGGAGAGATCATTCTTCTGCGCTCCAAGACATGGCAGCTCCAGGTTGAGGTCCTGGCACTCACTTGGAGAGGCCTCAGGAAGCCGAGAGAACTTTGATGCCTTCGTGCCCAGGGGGCGTGAGATTGAGGTGGGCTGTGCTACCACGGCTGGTGGGAGGGGCGTCTGTGTTGGGCCTTGAGTCTGCCTGCTTAGTTATCAGTCCTGCTCCCACCACTTACTGCCGAGAAAGTTCCTCCACGCCTCAGGCCGCAGTGTCTTCATCCGTAGAAGGGGGTACAGACTCCCTACCTCCCGAGGTTGTGGTGAGAATTATGAGCACTCATAAAGCACACGATACCACCCGGCACACGGTAAGCACTCAATAAACATCCACCGCTGCTTCCGCTCCTCGGGCGCATCTGCTGTGTTTATTTGTAAGTGCACTCATAGTAGCACTCTCCACTTAGAAAAACCCTGCCAGTCACTTTGACAGCGATTTGACTTTCCTAAAAGCCCCACATTCAATGGAACAGGTATGACTGTCCAACTTCAGGGAGAGGGAACGAGACTCCAAACAGCTCAGTAACTTACCCACAGCCGAGTGCTACGACTAGAACCTGGGATCCTAACTCCAAGTTCCTGAAAGCTGTTGGTCTTGTGGGATTCCACCTCTTCCTACCTCGAGGAGACTAACCCAGACTGGCTGCAGCACAGAGCCAAACCATGGAAGAACCTGGGCCAGAACCTGGTCTCTTGGCTCCAAGACCTTGGACCGTCTCTGATACTCTGAGTCTAGCAAGGAGGGTGGGTGTTACCTTATAGTGCAGTCTGCCCCCTGCTGGAGAACTCTGCCTGCTCCCCAGATCCCTGGGTTCAGGAGGGAGGTTACCTGCTGGAAATACTTGTCCCCGTTGATGTATTCCTTGTCGTGGGAGTCCTGCAGCCTGTTGGTCTTCACATACTGCCACAGGGCCTGGACGATGGCCGAGCGGCTCTGCGTGTGCAGCCCCAGCAGCCGGGCCAGGCGGGGGTCCAGTTTGAACTGGGGAGGCTGGGAAGGGTGACCGTGCAAAGCAGATTAAAAGGGGTGAGAAGCAGGAAGAGCTCAGAGCCAGGTGTGCTGGGACTGGGGGGATGGGGCATGGTGCCTGGGGGCCTTGGAAGCACACTCTCAGAGAGGAGAGGGTGGGGAGAAGCATGGGGTTTCCTGTGGTACCTGCAGGGTGTGGAGCAGGCACCGACCTGGTAGTCCAGCATGAGGAGCAGGGTGCAGCGCACACTCAGGTCCCCTGGCCTCTTCACCTGGAACCCATCTGTCTCCTGAGTTGTGGGTGTCCGATGCCACTATCCAGGGGGGAAGGGCTGGTCACCTGCAGGCCCATCTGGATGGGTGAGGCCTAGGGTTCCAGGGTGGGCCCTGACCCAGCTCTGTGCACATCCTGCAGGCACTTGGGCGATTCGAGGGCGGAAGGGAGCTCTGTCTTACCTCTACCAGATGGTTGTCGGGACCGTAAAGGTCTTTGTCCAACTCAATGACCAAACTCTTGAAGAAGGAAGAGAACTTCCGCTTCTGTTTGCTGGGCTGTGGGAAAGGCACGGGGACTGTTCTGGAGCAGAATGAGGCTGAGCTGGCAGCGAGCACATAGCACAGCAAGGGGCAGCCCTCTGCACCCAGGACATCTCTCTAGGCCCGCCCACCCCTGCCGGGGCTGAGTCCCAAACCCTCAGTGCAAACATCTACAGCAGTCCTCGGCTGAGCCCGTACCCACCCCAGGACACCTGGAGAGACCTGGGCCAGGACGTACATCATCCAGGAGCTTCCCCTCTACCCGCAGCTCCCAGGAGGCAATGCTGCCGTCGGAATCCTCCGCATCGGGCTTTGCAGGGTTAAACGTGTTGGAGATATAGAGGCGCAGCTTCCGCTTTTGCTGTGGAAACAGAATGTCGTGCCAAGCGGAGGCTATGTGCCCCAGCCCTGAGGCCACCCTGCTGCCCCATCCTGGCGCGGTGCTTGGAGCCCTCCTACCCCCCAAACTAAGGCACCTTCATGGGCCTCTTCAGAGCCTCTTGGATGTCCACCCGCTTCCGCATGATGGTTTGATCCAGTTTCCTCTCGAACGCTAGGAGGTCCATGTAAGCCTGGGACTCGGGGACCAGCTCCCGAATCTGGAAGAGGAAGAGGAGAAGACGGGGATCAGGGGCTCGGCCAATCTTGCACCGTGTGTTGTGTGATCCCGGGGTAACACATGGAGGGAAGTTGTCTGGTTTCAGGACATGGACTTTGGAGAGTGCGAATTAGACCTCTCCCCCAGGTTCCATTATCCCCAAGCAGGGGCCTTGATATGTGGGATAGAAAAATGCCCCCGGGGCCAGTGCTGTGGTGTAGTGAGTTAAAGCCCTGGCCTACAGTGCCAACATCCCATATGGGCGCTGGTTCGAGTCCCAGTTGCTCCACTTCCCACTCAGCTTTCTGCTATGGCCTGGGAAAGCAGTAGAAGATGGCCCAAGTCCTTGGGCCCCTGCACCTGTGGGAGGGACCTGGAGGAAGCTCCTGGCTCCTGGCTTCGGATCAGCTCAACTCTGGCCATTGTGGCCATTTGGGGAGTGAATCAGCAGATGGGAAAACCTCTCTCTCTCTCTCTCTCTAATAAATAAAATAAACCTAAAAAAAAAAAAAAAAGAAAAATGCCTCACCCCCTAGTGAGACCCAGGTATGTCCCCCCCCGGGAGGAGGGGGCTACTTTGGAGCCCAGCAGGCACGAGCCCCTAACCTTTTCTCATCTTGTCTTTCCACTAGGCATTCGCTTCCTTTGGGAGACAGCTGGGGGACACTGTTGCTCGCCTCCACCCTGGCATTAACTAGCCCCCCATGTGGTGTCTTAAGCAAGTTACCCCATACCCAGCTCAGCCAGGATCCCTTCTTCTGGTCACCTTTTTTTCCCTGCACTCCATCTGGTAGCCTCTGATCCCCCAGCTTCAGTCTTCTCTTTGTCACACGCCTTTCATGTCTTCCTTCCACTGGGTTTGAGCCCCCTGAACCTCAGGCCCAGTGTTCTATACCCCTCCACCCCAGGGCTTCGTTCCTCCCCCTCTGCCCTACCTCCTCCCTCAGCCCCCACCCCAAGCCGCACTTCTTAATGAGCTTTTGAAACAAAAAGTGAAAGTGACTGTGCCGCTGAGGCTCTGCTCCTGAAGGGGGAGGGGAGGCAGCACCGGATTGGGAGGGGGGGAAAGGAGGGTGGAGCAGCCAAGGCTGGGGGCCAGGCTGGGGGCTGCTGTGAAAGGCACTCACCCTTTGAGGGAGGATTTTGTCAGCCATCTTCCTCCTTTTGGCACTGTACATTTTTTAAAGAAAAAAACAGGTTACCATGGTGACAGATCTGGGAGTAAGGAGGCCACCTGCTAAATTATCCCGACATCTCCGCCTGCCTGGCTGGGGTTCCCACAGCCGGCTTGTCTGCCCGCCCGAGGGCGGCAGCAGTGGTGTGTGGAGCTGGTGCTCTGGCCTCTCTTGGGAAGTGGGGTGATCCATGCTTTCTCTGGCCTGGGAGAGGTGGGGGTGGGGACGGGGAAGGTGCTGCCCAAACATGGGAGCAGCAGAAATGTTCAAGAAAACCTGGGCAGCAGGGAGGGAAGCTGGATTTGGAGGACCTTGGCTTTCTGCAAAGCAGGGTGTGCATGTCCAGGGTGGCCTGAGCTCAGAGGGAGGGGGAGAGATGGACCCCCTACCTCTGGAACTGAGGACTTGTATCCCTGTCACCTTGGGCTTTGAAGGGGACACTGATGGGCAGGGGGTGGCTTGGGCCCTTGGCCCACCAGCCACCAGGGCAAAGGACACACCACACTCATTAGGGACCCACAGAGTATGCAGTTCTGTGGGGGCATGACTTCAACCTGGGGTCATACTAACTGGTCCTCTGTGGACAGGTAGCGCTGGGGTCTGCACTCTCCTTGACCTGCCCAGCTGCTTCTGACTCCCAAAAGCACCCCCCCCCCCCCAACCCTTGGCGGGTCAGGAGATTCAAATGCAGCCAAGAGAACGGCTCCATACTGCCCCCACGTGGTAATCTCAACCACTGCCCCTTTCCTATCCAGAAAGCCATTAGGCAAGGGACTTTCATTAAAGGTCTCATCTGTTTTAAACAAATGATCTATGTGAAACTCTCCATTTAGAAAAGATAAATCATGGAATTATTATCTAATGTACAACATGGTAATTCAATCTGCAGAAGAATTCATGAGATTCCCATAAACGGTGAATTCTCCTTGATGTATATAAATAATATTTAATAATGAGGAAAAATTGACATTACACCTTTTATAGAAACCCATCTGTCGTGCAAAAGGAAGCATGTGCATTTGGCTAAATACTGAAACCTAGAGGGGTATCACTCTTGCCAGGAGCCAGCAGGAACTTTTGGGGTGCTACCAGCTGCCCAGGCAAGCAGGAGTGCTGGCCCTGGTGGCTTGGGGCAGACCCGGTCCAGAAAACAGAACGGCAACTCTGAAGAGTCTTTTTGGATGTCTACAAATTACCTGGGACGAGCCGCCCCCAGAGCAGCTCCCCAGGCCCCACCCCCCACGGCTAGGGATTCCGACTGAGATCTGGAGCGCTTCCAGACAGCCAGCCAGGGGACTGCTGGAAGGTGCCCCCCGGGGGAACTACACTGTGGGAAGCCCGGCTCTAAGGCTCTGCCCTCAGCCCTACTGTCAGCCCCGCCCTACCCCACCAGACCGGAGCATCACCCGGAGCCTAAGGGGTGGAGAGGTGCACTGAGCAGGAGACAAGAAGGGCGCGGGGCGCGTGCAGGGAAGGGCCACTGGCTGCCGATGGCCGCAGCCAGTCTCGACCGTGGGCACACAAAAGAACCAGACCAGTGTCCCCTAAGCCCAGCTCCTCGGAGGAGGACTTGCTCCTTGCTTAGCGTTTTTCCTCGCCTCTTCCAATCCCCGCCACTCTCCCACCTGGTTCCCGCGGGTCCTGACAGCCCCCCTTGCACGCCCCCTTCGCGCGCCCCCCCCTCCCCCACTCACCTGCGACTCCGCGCGGGGGCGGTGGGCACCGGTTGGCCTTGGCTCTGGGCCTGGCTCTGCCCGGGCGGGGGCGCTGCTCGCTTGCGGGCGGGCTCCATGCCCGCGGGGGCCAGGCCGGGTCGCACGGCGGGGCTGCCCATGTACGGTGAGCCCGGGGGGCCCATGGGCGCCCCCTGGTGGGGCATCCGGGCTCCAGACGGCATCCCGGGACGCTGGGGGTGGGGCGGGGGTGAAGCAGAAACCGGCACCCGCGGGTCAGACCAGGAACCCTGGCTCCAGGCGCAGCGAGTCGGCGTCTCCCTTCCCCCCCACCCCAAGACCCCCGGCTGGTGACCCTGAGCGCCGAGCGCTGGGTGGGAGGGGCAGAGGCACCGGATCGGTGCGGCTTCGGCGGAGGGGGCTTGGCGTGTCGCTGCAGGAAGCTAACTGAAGCCAGGCAATTGCCCAGGGCATTGCCGAGCCTGGAGCTGCGGAAGGTACCGCAAAAACGCACAGTAACTGGCAATGGCGCCTTTCCACCTTCCAAAGGAGGTTCACACCCTCACGCGCCTCTGCCAGACTCAGTGAACAGGTCCTCTCATTCCCACTTGACAGACGAGGCAACTGTGGCTCAAGGAGAACGGCGACCTCGCCAAGGTCACGCAGCTCATCTTGGCTAGGACAACACCTGAAGGGCTCCGGGTTCCTGAGGGCCGCAGCGTTTTGCCGTTTGCGGCTTCGTTGAAGTTAGGGGCTGAGCTCCCTGCTCTGACTTTCCTTACGGCTCCCTCCCTCTCGGTCTCCACTCCTCCAGCTGTTCTGCCTTGCACCGGCTCCTCCTCAGCTGCCCCCTCCTCTCTCCACGCCCTGCTTTTGGACCTCTGCATCCCAAACTCCATCCCCTCCAGCTGACTCCACACCCAGAGGCTTCAGCAACTAAGCTGGACCCCAAGATTTGCTCCCCGGGTGAAGGCTGAAGGCAGAGCAAGGGCAAAGGCACCTGAGGGGCTGACGTCACAGCCTGCCAGGATTCTGATTGGGAGGAGGGGGAGCTGGGCTGGAGGTGAGCTACCAGGGGGCCTGGGCCAGGTCAAAGGAAGCAGCATGTCCACCCGCACCCATCAGCCATCAGCCAAGGCTTCACACCCAGCAGGCTTCCTCCACTGCTCACCCCCACCCCAGTGAAGCCAGGTTTCAAAGAGGGTGGTGGAGAGGGAGATGAGGTGGGTCATGTGCCCCTAGGTGGTCGGATGGGGTGTAAATGAGATGCAAATGAGTGAAGTGCTACTGCCACTTGTCCAGAGTTCAGGAGGGATATGAGGGTTTCAGGGCTTGTGTAGCAGCAGGGGAGTGGGTGGGATGGGGACTGGGAAAAGCAGGAATCTTGGGGAGCAAGGGGCCCCTGTTGTCATTTATCCACTCCGTTATCTCACCCTAGGCCCAAGGAGACGCCCCGATGCTGCCCCTGACTTTGCCCCTAAAGCCCTCCCACTCCCAGCCAGCAGCTGTCTCTGTCCATCTTTCCAGCAGTGAAACCTGCCCGACCATGTGTCTGCCTCCCCCCACCCCACCTGACCCTGTCACTCATGCTTCCAGGGTGGCAACCCAGAATGGAGCTAGCTGGTGACCATTCTCCGCCAGCCTAGATGGGGCACTGGGAGTGGGGATGGTGGGGCGCCGAGCCACCTAAGAACTGAAGCATTAAGTTGGCCATATATATATATATAGAGAGAGAGAGAGAGAGAGAGAGAGAGACCCATGTCGAGCCTCTCTCCCTGCTAGCTGGGCCTTTTCAAAGGAACTCCCCGCAGCAGCAAGGCTAGGACCGGTGATGCAGCTGGTGGACATGCAGGCCCTGGAAAGTCGACCCCAGAGATACACAGCGCTGGAGGCCAGGCTGACCCAGGAACCCCCTTGGCTTTATCAGCTGGGCTCCCTCTCTGTCAAGGCCAGGGATACTGCCTGCTCTGCTGGGAGGCTTCCAGGGCCCCCAGGGAGCTGTGCCAGCCACCAGCACCACCCCCACAACAGGCCAAGATTCAGGGACTCTGGCCTCCCTCACCAAGAAGGTGCCCTCCTGGGGGGTCACGGCCAAATGTGGCCGCAGTGAACCTGACGTCGTCCCCTCTCGCGTCTCCACACCCAGCGTGGCCCCCGAGCCACCCAGCTCAGGCCTCTTCCGTGCCCTGCCTCGGGTTGCTGAGGCTGCCTGGGGCTTCCCACGTGCCTCTGGGGCTGCCCTGTCCCTGGGATCCCTAGGCCTCACGTCCCCGACTCCGGCCCTTTCTTCACACCTTGGAGATATTAAGGACAGGCGTCTGCCAAGGGGACGCTCGGACTCCTTCCACCTGGAGTCTGTCCCTAAAGGGAGCCTCTCCCTGACCCTGATGGCAGGGGCTACGCCGAAAATGCCCCAGTGCCCTCCTGCCAGGATACAGAGGTTGCTCAGCCAGAGGGCTTTCGCGCCCACAGTGCCTCCAGGGTCACCTGCTCCACGCTCTGGAAACAGAGTGACACCGTCCCAACGGATGTGAACAGACAACCCAACAGGGCTGCGCCGCGTCCCCGTCCCCCGCCCCCACCCCCGGGGAAGGGGTAACACCTGGGCCCGCTGGGGAACCCAGACAACATGTCGGCCACAGAAGGGGACCCCCACCTGGGTGGGGGGAGTCCCCCAGTCCCACGCCCGCCCCTGACAAGAGCCCGCGCAGTCGCCTGCCTTCCCCGCCGCGCGCGCCCATCCCCGGCCCGCCGCCTGACGACGTGTTGGCACGCCAGGGCGCCGGCACGGTCCCGGCGCTGGGCTGTGGCCGCGGCGCCCCCGCCGGAGGGGTGGGCGCGCGGGAGCGCCCTCCCGGCCCCTCCCGGCCATCCCTCCATTCAGCCCGAGCCAGCTCGCTCACCCTCCCCCGCTAACTTTCCCCCACTCACCACCCCATGGACCAGAAACTCAAAAAGTTTGCTTTTCGTGGCTTTGCGCGCCCCTCCGGCAACTTCGTCCGCGGCCATCGGGGTGGGCTCAGCGGCGCCTCTCACTCTCTCTCTCTCTTCCTCTTTCTTTCCCTTTTCTGCCTTTTTTTTCCTCCAACTCTCCCCTCTGAGTCCTGCTGGGCTCTCTCACACTTCTACTCGAGCGGAGTGGGGAGGGGGCCCCTTCAGGGCTGCCCTGACGGCCCACGGCCCACGCCGCCGCCGCCGCCGCCCGCCCGCCGCCGCTGCCGCCGCCGCCGCCGCGGCTGCCGCATTCCTGCACTGATAAGACAGAAATAGTCCGGCGGCCCGGGGTCTGCCTGTTGACTCGGCGGGGACGGGGACGCCGGCCTTTGCAGCCCGCGCTGTCCAAACAGCGCAGATAAGCGGCGAGGTGCGCGGCGAGCCCGGCCCCGCCTGGGCGCAGGGTAGCGGCGCTTGCAGCCCGGAGCCGCCCGAGGGCCGCGCGGGGAGCTGGCGGGGGGCTCGCCGGCCACCCGGGCTCTCGCCACAAATAGCTGCTCGGTTAGGGAATTCGCCGGCAGGGCCAGGCAGGGAACAGTCAGTTCCAACTTTCTTCCCTCCCCGAGAGGCTCCGGCTGCATTTCTGAGGCCCTTTCCCCAGAGACCTGGCAGGCCAAGTAGGGAAACATTCGCGGGCAGGAATCCGGGGGGGAGCCGAGGCCGGCCGCGCCGGGTGTGCCGGGGAGGAGGCGCTCCCTGCGCGCACGGCTCTGTGTGTATGTGTGTGTGTGTGTGTGTGTGTGTGTGTGTTGTGCCCTTGTCTGGCGGCCGGCGTCCGCACCCTGCGGCCCGGCGCGGCGGCTGCGGGTGTTGACGAGGGCGCACGGACGGACGCCTCGCCCGGGGGCCTCGCTGCGCGGGAGCCGCCAGGCCTGCGCGCGTGCGTGGGGCCGGGACGCGGCCTGCGCTGCGCTCCGCTCCGCGCGAGGCTATTTCTGGGTATGTGGGTCTTTGTTTGCCTCTGTGTGAGAAAGTGAGGGCAGGAGGGCAAGTATTTCGGAAGGAGGGACGGGGACGGGGCTCAGAGAGCGCAGCGAGGGGGAAACGCGGGGCGAGGCGGCGCAGGGCCGGGCTGGGGGCTTCGGTGGGGGCGTCTGGGAAGCAGGAGACAAGCGGGGCTTGAGGGCCTAGGGGTGCGGACCCCGGAGGGGTCGGGCCCGCCTCAGCATCCCAGAGGAAGCCGGGGCGCAGGGTGGGGTGAGAGCGAGCCCCCGAAGGGGCGGTGTGCAGGGAGCTGGCAGTCCCTGGGGTGGAGGAGAGACAGGAAAGAGGAGGGGCGAATCCTGAGATCCCCAGACTGGGCGCCCTGGCCCCGCCCATGCCCCAAGGCCACGCCCCTATCTCCTCCTCCCGGAGGAGGGGCCCGTGGGCTTTGGGACGACAGAGGGTCAAGTTTAAGGGCCTGCTGGGGCTGCGGTGTCAACACAGGTGAGGGCGGGGCAACGGGACACCTACTTGAAGTTGGGCCCTGAAGACCCAGCATTGCCCTGGGGGTCCTGGCCCTCCTGCCTTGGGGAGTTCAGGACAAAGAACGCGGGACAGCTCTGCCCAGACTCTGCCTGCAGCCTGGTTTCCCTTGGGCCCGGACTGCGTGCCGGGCTGTGAGTGCCCATGTAGGTTCCCACTGTCTACTGAAAGGCAGAGAGGGTCTCTGCTTCAGGCTCTACCTCTGGCCTGGTGGGGGGGGACCCAGAAATTCCCCATTCCTACCAGGGCTTCACCCCAGGCCACTGCCCACCACCACCCACACACAGAGAAGCCCCGGCCATGGGGTAGCTTAGTGGTCAGCCACAGGCCATGAAGTGGCTGGTGGCAATGCATGAAGATTTGCTCCCATCAGCCCGCTAACCTCATCCCCCTCCACTCACCCCCATTTCTAAGCTCCTGTTCCTGCTCTTTCTCCTGGAAGACCCCTCCCTTCTGCCTGTCCACACCCAACCCTTAAAGCACGGTTCAGGCCCCTCCTCCTCCAGGAAGCCTTCCCTGGCATCACCCATGTGCACGGATCTTTCTCTTCTCCAAATGCCCATCAGTGTCTGCTCTGCCCCTTGGATTGGCCCTGGACTGATGTCTGCCTCATGATGTGCCCTGTGCTTCTTTGTGTGTTAGGTTTGCTTTCCCCAACAGATTTTGGGCCCCCGGAGTCAGAGCCTGGCCTGCAAGTCCCACTCTCCCCGCATGGCTGGGCACAGGCACCTGATAATACCAGATGCCTGAGGATGCTTGCAAAGCTCAATGG